ACATGAACGGTAGGAAACGTCTAGCATTGAATTTTAAAATCACCATGAATTCAACATTTCAGTAGTGTTTTACTATAAAAGATGTAAACACATAATTACTATTATTTATATTCATAATCTTTAATCAAAATGATGTGAGGTGTTCTACATGTCACTCACATGAGATCCACCAATAGCAAACCACAACCAGAGAAAGTCAAACCCCGCCCAACATTTATTCTTGTTCGAGAAGCAGTTTCACTCGGATATAGGCTACTGTATGTCACAATAAGTAATAAAAGGCTAATCGCAACTTTCCATTTTTGGATTTAAACTAATATTACATAAACTTAATCCAAATGATGATGATATCTAAAAAAAGTGTTAAAATGTGAAGCAGGTAGTGAAACTTTACCTTCAAGAGACTCGATCCCTGTTGCCTGAGCTAGTAGATCCTCATGTCTGGCCACTACCTGTGATCAAAACCAAATATTGCTAAATATATTGGTATACATCTTTAGTATTATCACTGCAAGCTTTTTATTGATTATTTTCTAATTAGTGGCTGATTTGGATACATTTCTATATAGGATTAGTGCACTTTCTACAGTCTGATGTAAGTTCTGCAGTAAGCTGCTCACTTGATGGACATGATCCTAACATAGATCTGCATAGAAACATTGGTGTTTGTTGATTGACAGGTGTCACTCACCTGGCAGTGCAGCTCTTTGTCCAGCTGACTGATCCCCTCTGCCAGCTTTGCCAGCTGCTCTGCAATGACAGCATGATGAATGGCTTGAGCTGTGTATGTCTTTACGTCGAATTCCTCTTTAAGGAAATCGGTATAGCACTCTGGAAGGAAAATGATCAGGATATTATAAAACACACAACAGGACATCGCATTGCCTGGAGAATACACTATGTGTTACTGTGCTTTAACTGCAACTAAAGATAATCAATCTGCCTGGCTACCCGAAAAACACCAGCACAGATCAGATCTAAAAGAGAATTCATATTAAAAGAAGATTACCATCTTTCAGCAGTGAATTCGCTGTTGATTCCGGATAGGCGTCCATCGTTGCCACTTCATCAGTGACGTGTAATTCCTGCGTCAAAACATGAATGGAGGGCAACGGCAATGGCTCATGAATATGAATTAGCTGCACTGACGTGCCATTCATTAAAAAATCGCAAACTTACACAATTGTATTGTAATGTTGATTTAACTTGTTTTAGGAACGTATTTAAGGTACTCTGTTAATTTATGTCATAATCTATCGTATTAAACCTGGAAATAAATATGAATTCCGTTTCTTGTGGCTAAGAGGTCAAAGGTTAAACACACCCACTCACTGGCAAACGGAAGTGACAAACGATGCTGTTTGTGACCATGCGTGTTTGTTTTAGTCAAGTGTTTACTCTTCTGAACGCGTTTTTTAAGGGAATACATATGTACGGTTTGTAATTTAAATGGAGTACATTTTAATTGGGAGTTTAATACTTAACACTAGTATTTGACTTGCGCGATTAATTACAATATGGCAGGATTGTGAATCGCGGAATTTATGACAGAGATCCACAATAAAATAATAATGGACAGTGGGAATATCATCACGGACTTGTTTAACAGGGGAAGGCCAGTCAGAGTATGTGCACCCATGGTCCGTTACTCAAAGTAAGTTAGACAGCATTGACTTGAGTCCTGTTAATATTTTGTCCATGTCGTATGTGTTCTTAATGGTTATTCTGGCTCTTTTCAGGTTAGCTTTCAGATGTTTAGTCAGGAAATATGACTGTGATTTATGTTTCACCCCAATGATCATTGCAGCTGACTTCATGCGCTCTGCAAAAGCCAGAGACAGTGAATTCACCACCAATAAGAGTAAGTCATAGCATATGTATATATTAAAATTATTTAGCATATGCAACATTGACATGTCTATATTACTATAAACGGCACAGGTGCGATAATATGCAAAGTTAGTACCATGGTATACATTAAATAAAGATTTTATTAATGCACTTGGCCAGATATTATTTTTATCCATATTACCAAGTGACAGTAAAGTCTGTGCTAAAATACTGTCATTGCTGTTGACAAAAAAAGAGAGAAAAATAACATGGGAAGTGTTTTCAAATTTTGCATGATTTATATCTTATATATAAAATTGTTTTCCCCCGTTCTCTTCTGACATGAACAGACTGCAGAAAAAAAATAACAGACCTAAATTTGTCTTAAAATTGTCTAGTGACTTCATGGGTAAGCTGTGTCCTGTCAAGGGTTTAGTCGAATAGAAATAAATTGTTTACACACAAACTTACACTTGTTGTGAGAATGAACTTTATTCACTCATAGTCCTCAGTTTTCTCAACGAGATTACAGTTAGATGCAATGCTACCTTTCACTTTCAGTTGAGTCACTGGCACAGCCTTCAACATAATAACTACTCATATCATATATAACATGTGTTTGCTTCTTAGCTGACCGACCCTTAATTGTCCAGTTTGCTGCGAAGGACGCACAGACGCTGGCAGATGCTGCATGTGTGGTTTCTCCTTTCTCAGATGGGGTGGATTTGAACTGTGGCTGTCCACAAAGGTAATGCTAATATCCAGAGTAATATAACATTACCCATCACTCACGGCTTAAAAAAAATCGTTTGTCGAACATTTTGTGCACAGGTTGTTTGTGGAAGCTGCTGTTTCCCAGTATTTCCCGTTCTGAGTGACAGCAGTCATGTGGATGTGTGTGTTGCAGGTGGGCCGTGTCTGAAGGCTACGGTGCGTGTCTGATTAACAAACCTGAGCTTGTGAAAGACATGGTTAGGCATGTTCGAAACCAAATAGACAATCCCAACTATGCCGTATCCATTAAAATAAGGTGAGCATATGATCTCCTGACTTTAAAGTACACTCGTTTTGCTATTATATATATATATATATAGAAAACTACATATGTACTTATTTATTGCAAAAGCACTTTTAGGTAAGTTACCTTCTTATATATCAAATCTTTTAATTTATTACACAAATACCTACCAAACTAGGTCTGGATCTCATCTCCGGCTAAAAGTCCCAAGGGTACTGTCAGAATTTGGCAAAAGTGCTTTTTCGATTTACGCTCCTTTCTTGGAGTTGGAATGAATTACAAAATGTATTAAATTTAGATGCACTTCCAACTCTGACCTCCTTTAAACGTCTCTTGCTCAATGTTTTAAAGGACAATTGCAATTGTTTTTCTTAACTCGTCTTGATCCATGTTGTTTGTGAATGTGTAAATTGTGGTATTTTATTCTGTGATTCTTGTGTATGAAATTTCTTGTGCTGCCGTCTTGACCAGGTCTCTCTGGAAGAAGAGATAGTAATATCTCAATGTGACTCTCCTAGTTAAAAAAAAATAAAAAATAAAGGAAATATATATATATATATATATAAAGTGGCTTGACATTTACTGGCAGTTTTTTTTTCTTGTTTTCAGAATTCACAAAGATGTCAGGAAGACAGTGGATCTCTGTCAGAAGGTGGAGGCAGCGGGCGTCTCATGGATTACAGTTCACGGGCGTACATCCGACGAGAGGCACCAGCCTGTTCATTATGATGCCATCAAGACCATCAAGGATAGCCTTTCCATCCCAGTCATCGCTAATGGTGATATCAAGAGCTTGCAGGATGTGGAGGCCACCTACGCCCTCACAGGGGTGGATGGTGTGTGTCAGATTAACACCCTCTCCACATGGATGATCTTTATTTGATACCTGTATCTGATACCGTTGAATCTCTGCAGGTGTGATGGCTGCTCGGGGATTGCTGGCCAATCCTGCCATGTTCGCTGGGTACGAGGAGACGCCGCTGCAGTGTGTGTGGGACTGGGTGGACATCGCTGTGGAGCACGGGACCCCCTTCAGCTGTTTCCACCATCACCTGATTTACATGCTGGAACGCATCACCTCTCAGCCCGAGAGGAGGGTGTTCAATACTTTATCCAGTACGTCTGCAGTCATCGACTTCCTCCACAACACTTACGGCTCCACATAGTTGTTTTTAATGAACGTATTCTTTTATAAGTTAAAATAAAGGCGAAACCTTGGTTCACACGCACACACATTGGTCAATCCTTTACGTGATGCTTTATGATGCTTTCAAATCCTTCAAAACATTCAATCCTATAAAACATGACGCTTTCAAAATTGTACAAAAAAGACAGCAAGAACGAGGTAACATTGCAAAAAAGGCAGTTTTATTAGTTTTCATTTGTATTAACTGTAATTGTAGCCATGTTATTTTTATTTTATTACATTGACAATCTATTAATTAACTTTCTAGGCACTAATAATCAATTAATATTCAACACAGATTTTACTGAATAACAAAATCAGGTTTAATAATGTACAAACTACAACAAGACCAAATTAAAACGAAAAAAAAAAAAACGTCCATATTAAAGAGACTTGTTTATTAAAAGGAGTAGTTCACTTTTAAAAAAAAAACTTTTGCTGATAATTTACTCACCCCCATGTCATCCAAGATATCCATGTCTTTCTTTCTTCAGTCGAAAAGAAATGAAGGTTTTTGATGAAAACATTATAGCATTTTTATCCATATAATGGACTTCAATGGGAACCAAACGGCTCAAGGTCCAAATGAGAGTTTCAGCACAAACTGTTTAAAGGGCTTTAAACGATTCCAGACGATGAATAAGGGTCTTATCAAGCGAAACGATTGCTCATTAAAAAAAAACTCTCGAACTGTTCGAACTTGTTTATCAAAATGAACAAATCTTTTTTCGTGTCATTTGGTTCATTCAATGAATGAATTGACTCTAGTCTGGAATTTTTTTTTTAATGAGCGATCGTTTTGCTAGATAAGACCCTTATTCATCGTCTGGAATCGTTTAAAGCCCTTTGAACAGTTTGCACTGAAACTGTCTTTTGGATCTTGAACCGTTTGGACCCCAATGAAGTCCATTATAAGGAAAAAATCCTGGAATGTTTTCATCAAAAATCATAATTTCTTTTCGACTGAAGAAAGAAAGACATGGACATATTGGTAGATGACAGTTGGGTGAGTAAATTATCATAAAAAAGTTTTTTTTAACCCCAAATACTAAAGCTGCCTATAGTGAAATGCATTTTACACACAGTATTGCTGTTTGTAGGCGTATCAGACCAATTTTAGGAACTCTTTGGGTATTTAGACAGAAAAAAATAGGGGGGTATAAGGGTAGGGTTAAGATTAGGATTAGGAGTAGGTGGATTAGCACAATATAACGCCTATAGGGTTACAGAATTTGGTGGGTCACAAAATTCGGCATAACACCAGCAATGGAATATGCAGAATAATATCTAGTACCTCCTTAAAAATGTATTATGAATTAATATGAGTAAATTAAAACAGTAGCCGGTAACATGCTAGTATGCCTATCTGAGTGTGTTATAACCATAGGCTACTTATTATTAGAAATAATCGCATTGTTGGTGCACATGTAAGCGTAGTCACTGCTGCTGCTCAGAATCACTGAACGGCCCTCCTACAAAACCAGCTGCGTTTACAGACACAGATGTACATGTTTACCTAAAGGAAGAGAAAATCAATCAAGCCATTACATTATGATTTACAGCACTAATTCTAGATGATCAGACAGTGGCTCCTCATACAATAGTGTCTGAAAGTCATGTTGTGACTGTGTGAAACAAACATCACACATGCTTTTATGGTGAAATTGCATCTTTTTCCTAATTCACAGCATTTATGTTATGTTGTGTTGACCATGCTGGTTTTAAAAATTATATATTACATGAAAATTATAAAAACAATAATATAATCTTTCCATATTTAACTTTTTTAATATAATGTTTGTGTTTGATTTATATAGTTTAAGGTTGTTGTTTTTTTAGCTTTTAAATCTGAAATCTGGGCCCGTATCCCTAAAGAATTTTTTGCAAAAAGTGGCTCCTAACGGCCAAATTCTAAGAAAATTCTCAGAGTCATGACGTTTTCTTAGAATTTCCCCTAAAAGTGACACGAAAATCCCAGTTAATATAAAAGCTATTCCTCAAGATTCCTAGCGCTTAAAAGGGCTCCTAAGGCGAGATCTGCTAAGAGCAGGGAAGAGGACTTTTAGTGGCTTAGGAGTTCCCCTAAACAGCTGCACATAATGGCCATTCTCCATTTCTGTGTTTGTAGGATATTTGTTAACAAGCCTTCATAAATAGACCAGCCAGCAATCACAGACATTGATAAAAGCTGAGCCGTGTTACCCTCGTGAGTTGTAACGTTGCAGTTCATTAAGGACAGCCCCTTGAGATAGGCCATCTTGTTTTCAATGGGGTCCATATGGGAGTGAAAGTACAAAATATGCCAGCTAGGATATTAATATGAGCAAATAAGACACGAATAATTATTTGAACAGGGTGTAATGAGCTTAAGTTTTCACATATTTTAGATTCTAATGTTAGGCTATAACCCCTACAGCTTACTATTCATTTTCCAGATATTTTCTTGAATTTGAAATCTTATTTACAATTACAGTCTGCATAAGATTAGAGTGTATTATTATGTTTATTGATTTGAGGGTACATCCTTTGCTCATTATCACCAAAAGTTCATTTTCATCAAACTTGTAGGATCAACCAACCATTGAAATGATGACTCATACCTAGCAACGGGGTCAACCACACCTCCTCACTATATAGGATTCTCCATCCATTCCTTGCTCAGAGTTCATTGAAAATGTTCTGGAATCACTTCTAAGCTAAAACTCCTGGCAAGGAATTTTTAGGTTAAGTTAGGAGCTCTCTGGAAGGATACGGGCCCAGAAGTCTAATATAGTGATGACTGTGTGGAAAATGAAGAGACGCTTGATACTCACACTGGAAGTCCAGCGTCACTGATGCGTTCTGAGTGCCGTGTTCGTTCTGAGCTGTGCAGACGTATCGTCCGCTGTGTGTCGGGTCGGTGTTGCTGATGGTCAGGTTCTGTCCGCTCTGCACTGGTTTCAGTGGTTCTTCAGTGTCTCTGTACCAGGTGTAGTTGAGCACCGGTGGGTTTGCGTCACTGCTGCAGCTCAGAGTCACTGAACGGCCCTCCACAACAAACCCAGATCCAGTCACATGAGCAGATGTGTTTTTAGGGGCGTCTAATGGAGGAGAAAAACATTCAGGCAATTATGTTATGATTTATAGCACTAACTCTAGACGATCAGACAGTATTGAATGAAAGAATCCCTGTCTTACACTGAACACGTAGGGTACGGGTCTTGTTTTTTGTGATCTGCTGCCGAAGCTGGTGTGTTACAGTGCAAGTGAAATTGGCTGAATGATGACGGGGAGTTACAGTGAAGATCAGATCAGAGATCAGCTCAGTTTGCTCCTGACGCTGCTGTTGAGTGACGCTCTCGTCGAGGAGGTGTTCAGGAGACGAGCTCCATGTGAGATTTGCTGGACGAGAGGAACAGAAGATCTTAGTCGAGCAGCGCAGATTCACAGAGCTTCCCTCCTCCACCTCTGTCACGTTCTGCTGATCCTTTAACAGACTCACTTTGGGTTTGGGTGGAGAACCTACGACACATTAACAGTCAAATATTACAGGGTGTAATAATAATAATAATGTAGTTGAATTATTTTTCAATGCAACTCATTTTGTACTGGGGAATTGAGCTGTTTTCTTTGAATGTAGGAGACGTCTGATTCATTAGCCGTGCAGCCGTCTTTAGAAGTAAGTGTTTGAACTTCTGTTTTTGCAGAATCTCTTATTCTGTTGAAGAGTAGCTGGTGAAGTGGATTTACTTATTGTGGAGTTAATGAAAGTTATCATGAGCATTTTAATGTTTGTAATGTTGTAAAAAATAATCCCAGTATGCCAGTATACAAGTTATAGTATTACTTACTAAGTTATAAGATATTACTAAAAAACTAGAATAATAACAAAGTGCAGTAAACGGTAAAACTATTTGCACATCAGTGTGTTTATGATTATGATAACTAAAAGAATATGATAATTATCAGTTTGCAATATAAAGCATCATAACGGACTGTTTTGTTCAGGTCTGGAAGTGAATGACACTAAGCTTCACACTTTCACCTTAGACATGGCCGCATCACATTTATATTAAGATAGAAGCAGCATGAACAATATGACACTCACCAATGACAGCAATTTCAACTTGGGTGAATGTAGGTTTCCTGTAGCTATATTTCAATTGACCGCTTTCAACTCTAAAGAAATATGACCCATGATCACTCTGACGGACATTGTGGAAGCGGGTGGTGCAGTTTTTGTCTGTAGGAGTGCCAAATATTTCTCCTTTTAACGATCCAGCGTTGGGTTGATCTGAGTTAAACACTTCAGTGCGAGGCGTTTCGTCTTTATACCATATTCTCTTTGCATTATCAGTGAGCCTCTCATTTTCATATTCTTGATCAATATCAAATGTGCAGGGTATGAAAACACAGGATCCTTTTAGAGCTTCTACTCTCTCCGGCAGACTGATATCAAAACCACAAAGAGCTCCTAAAACACACAGACAAGAGGAACTGATCACACAAACTTTACATGCAGAATAAACTGCTGCACTTATTAATATGAAAATGCTTTCAGAATATTAATTCAGCAGAGGAGTAATCTATAAGAATGAAACCTTGTATCAGACATCCAGTGAGGAGGAATGTCACAAATATTTCCATCATTCACTTCACCTTACAACAGAAAATACAAACACAAAGTATACACTCTTAATACAAATACAAAGTATGCAATCTTAATAGAAATACAAAATATACACCTTTAATAGAAATACAAAGTACACTCTTAATACAAATAAAAAGTATACAGTCTTAAAATAAAGGCTATTGGCATTGATGGTTTCTTGAAGATCCTTTAATATCCATGTAATCTTTCCATTCCATAAAAGGTTATTTAAAAAAGTGAAAAAACAATGTTCTTTAGATTATAAAAAGGCTCTTCATATTAAGAAAAAATGGTTCGTTTAAGAAGTGTTTACTGAATGTTTCCATAAATTGTTCTTCTATGGAAACGCATGTGAAAATCCCTTTGAAACCTTTAATTTTAAGAGTGTATAAACTTAATAACAACTTAATAACAGTTATGTCCTTTTTAAACTTTGGTGTAAACATTATTTCTAAATCCAAAACTTGTTTTAAAGTTTTTCATGAGTGCGAGAAATGTCATGAGAAAACAAATATGAAAGTCTTATTTTATTTATTTTTTAAAAAATAGTTTAATCTTAAACATGTTTTACAACCTGAGTGTCAAAAAACTGACAGTCTCAAACCAACGAATTGTGTTGTGTGTAAATGACTTACCAGAGAAGAGTGAAAGAGCGACTGTGTGTGACTCTTCTACACTGGATAGAGGGAGATCTGTGTGTGAAAACAACACTTTTATACTTCTATTACAGTTTTTACCACTTCCCCTTTCAGTCCGAACTAAAGTAGCCTGTTATGACAAAAAATCTTTAAAACAGACATTACTGCGTACACTGTAAAAATCAATATGCTTTATCTAATCAATAAAATTGTGGCAACAGATTACAAGCAATATTATTTATTAAATTGAACAAATTAGAATTGAGTAATAGTTAATCAAATTAACATTCTAATTAATTCTAATTTCTACAATTTAATTAATAATATTGCTTCTAATATGTTGCCACAATTTTATTGATTAGATAAAGCATATTATTTTTTTCAGCGTAAGAGACACTCAGAGTCAAATTAATAAAAGGAAAAGAGGTTTATTGTTCTTGCAAGAATAAGGCTCAATCACTAACACATATTGGGATACTGTGAAGTGAAATGACACCCAGAACACAAGCCGGAGTCTGTCTATAATATATCTCTCCCAAGGTTATTTACTGCAGGCCAAGCCTCTCTGTAAAATTCCACAAGCAATAGGATTAACATTTACCGCTAACCCCCTCTATCCTCCCCAGTCTAAGATGACCTCTGACCCGACCGGTTCTCTGGTGCCTCACGCCACTCTTGATAAAGGAAAGACAAATTACCTCCTTCACGGATAGCAAAACCATAAGACATTCCTCTGTTATTACATATAGTAGGTAAACAGATAAAAACACAAGACCCAATAATCAAACCTTTCAAACCATCAGACCATTCAATAGTATGACTGTGTTTCTAACAATGGAAAGCTTAATGCAAATGGGTGGAGTCCCCCTTTAAATATGAAGTCAAAGACCTCGGGTTACAGACACTTCTCAGAAGATAACAACTTGACCTCACACATTCAAGATTCACACAATTGACACTGAAACGCTCTCGCGCCACGTCCCTTTTAACATGCAGTGAAAAATTGCAGGTTTTTCTGTCATTTTTTGAACCACTTTTTTTGATGTGGGACCAAATGTTGACATTTGTGGATGTATTTTCACAACTTCTATAACTGAAGTCCCATGTTTCAAAAGGGTGGAGGTCATGTTTTCTAACTTGTATTTACATTTATGCATTTGGCTGACGCTGTTATCCAAAGTGACTTATATTGCATTACATATTAGTTCTTGGTTTGCCTGGGAATCAAACCCATGTTAACTCATGATAATTTGCAAAAATATTGCATATTAATCATGTAAATTTCCTGCACCTGTCATAAATGTCCAAATGAGGTCCAAAACAATTACCCAGTTCAAAGGTCAAATGTTGAATGTCAGACATCCAAGTTGGGTCATGGTTGGACGTCCAAATAGTGGACCCGTTTGGACGTCGAATAGATGTCCAGATTTTGTCGTTGACCGACGGACCCAATATAGACATGATCTGCACGTCTATCCGATGTCCAATGTTTAGTGGGTGTGTTGAAAGATACACACAGGACAAGTGCTTTGGAGAATGGATGGGTAGATGATGGGCACATGAGACCATAAGTGTGTTAATCTGCTTCTTCTTGAGGACAATAAGTGTAAGTATTATTATTATGAAAACAGCAGGATCAGAAGTGTATGATGAAGATCTTCAGGTTTACTAACTAGAGAACTTCCAGACTGGTGTGTTGGACTGTTTTTTTTTTTTTGCATAAAATCTGATGATTTATCATGATTAACAAAATGTTATTTACAAGTTATGTAAGTGTTGTCAGTTTGAGTTTGATAATAAAGTTGTTAATGACCATTTTTGTGATTGTTTAGACATTTGATACAACTTGTTTTAATAAATAGTTCGGAATATTTCTTCCCACATATAACAAAACATTTTGTACACGTAACTCAAATGATGCAGATTCAATCCTGAGCAGACATTTTTTAAAACATCCTAACATTACTTCTACACAGATAAAACAATAAAGATGATCATATCAACGATAAACAAAAGAAAATGACCGGAACACTTTAGAGTAAAAGCTGACAGAGCCAAGATCACAAAAGCTAAAACTCACCAATGGAGGGCGAAACACTTTTTTATTCATTTATTTTTCATTTACTTTAATGTTTATTATTAGACTCGATTTGCAACGGTGTAATTCACAAAAATCACCACAGGAGGGAGCAACACTTTTATGTATATTCATTTCGCAGAATGACAGAAACCGAAGCGCAGTTTTCATCCGCTCCACTAGGCGGCGTGAGCGGGCATCACTGTCAGAGCGACTCCTTCGGGTCCTTGGCAACATTGACGCTTGTTGATGACAGACGCTACAACATGTGCAGATGACAGCCACACAACTGGACATATTTCAGCAAATAAACCGACATACAGTCCGATAACATGCGGGAATTGAGTGTCATTTAACTTCTCGGTAAGTAACTTTGCACATAAAGTGAATTTCTTTTGTAAAATGATATCGCGACCCTTAATGTTTTGTATAATTGTATTTTTCACTGATGCATCGTTCTGCTGAAGTGTCATCATAGCAGGGCTCGTCAGTGTAATGTTCATGGTGTCTGTAAACTAAATGTTATTTAAGTTTGTGATGAAAGCATTCGCGTCTTCTATAAAAAGAGAAAAACTCTTATTTTTTTCTGAACACACACTACCTTCAGAAGAGCAAATTAATCGGGTGTTGCTTTACATTTATAATCAGAATAATAAGGAATGCTGTTTTTATATATTTTTTTCTTTACATGCTGTTGTTGTTATTGTAGTCTTACTGTAGGTAATATACTGGATTGATGTTTGTTAATAGAGTCAGTTGCTCTGATGTTTCTGCTGCTTCATGCTTGTGTAGAGCTCAAGTGATTTTACTTCTAATGAAAACCATCATACATACAGTCCAGAACAGAACAGAACAGGGTTAAAACCGTGTGCAGGAAACAGCCTTTTAGGATTACTGTACATTTAAAACTTCAGCTAGTCCCAATTATGGTTCAATCACGTAAGCTACACTAGTTATTTTGTCAAGAGATTTCTTGTTTATTTTTGTGTTACATTGATGTGTCATTGCACACAATACTTCTATGCAAGCTAAACTATAGCTCATCCCTAATCTCTCCTCAGCAAACATATACAAACACACTCTGATTTCTCAAAATATAATTTAAATAATTTTATACTTTTAATGTATTCAATTTCCTTCTATTGACTAGTCTTTAGACTAACTTTCACATTCTCATTTATAGATGTAGAATATATAGAGTATTTCTAAAACTATCTTTTTAATCTTTAAAAAAAAAATAATATTCTTTTTTGTTCATGTCTTTCCTTACAGAAGGAATGTGTTTGGACCATTACATCCAGTCATCAGAAGCAGAGCTGTGGGACGTGTGGACAGACATTGACTGTAATGATGGACTTCTGCTGATGGACAGGTAATGTAAATGCTTGTTTTACTGTACTAAACATGTAGGTTCCCATCATTTTCTTTTTGAAGGGCCTCCCCCTTTGAAAAGCAAATGATGGGAACCTAAGCGGGTGGGGAAGGGACGAGGAGGCGAAATTTTTATATAAAAAAAAATATTTTTTTTTCCTTGTTTCCAAAAAGCATAACCCCTGCTGCTGACTGTCCCGGAAGCTCCGGGGGGAGACCGTACTGGTATCCCCCTCCTTTGGGCGCGCCACTCACACACTCACACAACATCCACTCCTATCGCGGAGATCTGGCTGGGATCAAACCAGCAACCTCTGAACCCGTGAGGCAGCGCTCTTACCTGTGAGCCACAGATCTCTTGCTGATGATGTGCTGGAACTTATATTTCACTGTTATCCTGAGAGTTTCCAATAAAGCAGTTAAAGTGAGATTCGAACCCACGTCTTCATCAGTCTTGAACTCAGAGAGTGTGTGTTAATCCACTCGCCCATCATGGATTTCACATTTATGGCTGGTTTTTTGGGCTCCTTGTCTAATGAGAACTATTGAAAGTCAGCAATAGTGGGACTTGAACTCAGGACGCTGTGATCGAAACACAACTCTTTCTCTCCTGAGCCACTGAGTCTGTTGAGATGAAAAGCGTTTTCAACCGGTTTGATCCAGAGTTTTGTGTTAAATGATGAATAACTTCAACAAACATGGATCTGAAACCTGGGATTTGAACCAGGACTGTCTGGTTGGTGAGGTTGACAACTATCCACTGAGCCGCAGAGACTGTGAATCAATGATGTTGTTTTAGATTTCAAGTTTAAAGTTCTTAGCGTATGTAAAAGATTATTGTCATTGATTAATAATTCATTGACTACTCAGATCTATTCTTATAAAAATGATTTTATTTTTAAGTTATTCTTTGTATCAACTGTATCAGTGTGCGTGTTGTGTCCTATCAACTGTCTATATAAATATACATGCAAAAAAAAGTCAGATCTAAAATTATTTTCGCCCTGCTGTGGTGATTTGTGTGAATTACACTATTGCAAATCAAGTCTAATAAACATAAGAGTGTCGCCCTCCTGTGGTGATTTGTGTGAATTACACCGTTGCAAATCGAGTCTAAAAAACATAAGTGGTGTGCCCTCCTGTGGTGATTTGTGTGAATTACATATAGAGAGTAAAAGAAAAGTGGTGATTTGTGTGAATCACACCGTTGCAAACCGAGTCCGATCGAATCTAAAAAACATAAGTGTTTCGCCCTCCTGTGGTGATTTTTGTGAATTACACCGCTGCAAATTTCTTCTGTCTTCTCTGTTCTGTCCTTATGTTAAAATACATACATACATAACGTTACACACACACACACACACACACACACACACACACACACACATATATATATATATATATATAAATATATAAATACAAAAAACTAGACTTTCTCATTCAAAGGCAAATCAATATTTTCTGCACCACAGAGCTTGTCAAACATGTTGCTGCTGCAATTTTACAGGAACTTTAATCCAAAGTCTCAGATGTGATCTGACGAGAGTAAAGTGCAGTTTTCCTCCGCTCCTCAAGGCGGCAGAAGCGGGTTCTCCTTCAGTCTGACTCTTCTGCTGCTTGACAACGTGACACTTGATGACAATCACAACAACACGAGCAGATCCTGCAGATGAGAAGATGACAGCTCTTAATGTCACTTTAACAGCACATATTACAGCTCAACCGCAAATAAAACCGACGCAATCAAACGACACATAAATGAGGGAACCGAGTGCGGCACAAGACTCACCTGTAAGTAACTTTTACTTTAGCATGAAGTCAAGTTCTCTTGTCAGTCGCTATTGTAGCGTTACCTTTTTAATCTTTGAATGAATCGCCCTCTGATATTCACACTGTAAAGAGTAATAAGAAGGACTCAGTTGATATTGCAGTGTTTTCTGGGTGTATGTGAGAGTCAGCAGGAGTTGTGTCTTGTGTGAAGCTCTGATGTTCTCCTGTTGCTTCCTGCTTTTATTCTACTTCCTGTTATGACTGGGATCTGAGAGTGAAAACTGCCTTTAGAATGGTATGCAATTAAAATGTCACAGTATTACTACAAGCATGAAACAATACAAGTAAAGAGCAGTGACTAGACACTTTGCAATTGGTTTTCTTTGTATAGCATTTCTAATATTGTTCTGATGTTTTGTAGGTTTGGCTTTCTGTGAATGGGGAGTTAGTTTTTAGTTCTGTGTGTTCAGTGTTTTTATAATTGTGTGTGGCCTGTAAGACAGTGATTAAGTTGAATCTCTAGTTGTTGTTACATGTATGAGATTCAAATGAATCGTCCTCTGATTTATGTGTAGTGAAGTAGAATAATAAGCAATTGTTTCTAGTCTCTTTTGTTATTAGTTGTCTTACTTTATGTAATAATAATCTAGTGGATTGATGCGTGTTTATAGAATCAGTTGGTGTGTGTGTGTGTGTGTGTGTGTGTGTGTGTCTGTGTGTCTGCTGCTTGTATTGTATCGTAGAGATGCAGTGCTTTTCTTCTAATGAAAACTGTCAGGATCAAGCCTTGTGCCGGAACATGTCTTTTAGGGTTACTGTTGTGTGAAGGAAGGTTTCATCTTAAAGTTATAACTCCACTTGGGCAGTTCTTTACAGTGTACATGTTTAAGCATCAAGTGTCAGCGCTCGCACCGAAGGCTTTATTTCTATTCAGTGTTTGTGTCCATTTGTAGCCTGTAAAACTGTAATTCAAATCATAGATTATTATTGGATACAGCCTTACTGAACTTGAACTATACTATACTATATTATTATAATAGTAATATATTTCCACACTGTACAACTTTAGGCTTTTAATTTATTCCACTTTCCTTTTATTAACTAGTCTTTAGACTAACTTTCACATTGTCATTTATAGATGTAGAATATTGAGTATTTCTAAAACTAATCTTTTTTGTTCATGTCTTTCCTTACAGAAGGAATGTGTTTGGACCATTACATCCAGTCATCAGAAGCAGAGCTGTGGGACGTGTGGACAGACATTGACTGTAATGATGGACTTCTGCTGATGGACAGGTAATGTAAATGCTTGTTTTACTGTACTAAACATGTAGGTTCCCATCATTTTCTTTTTGAAGGGCCTCCCCCTTTGAAAAGCAAATGATGGGAACCTAAGCGGGTGGGGAAGGGACGAGGAGGCGAAATTTTTATATAAAAAAAATATTTTTTTTCCTTGTTTCCAAAAAGCATAACCCCTGCTGCTGACTGTCCCGGAAGCTCCGGGGGGAGACCGTACTGGTATCCCCCTCCTTTGGGCGCGCCACTCACACAACATCCACTCCTATCGCGGAGATCTGGCTGGGATCAAACCAGCAACCTCTGAACCCGTGAGGCAGCGCTCCTACCTGTGAGCCACAGATCTCTTGCTGATGATGTGCTGGAACTTATATTTCACTGTTATCCTGAGAGTTTCCAATAAAGCAGTTAAAGTGAGATTCGAACCCACGTCTTCATCAGTCTTGACCTCAGAGAGTGTGTGTTAATCCACTCACCCATCATGGATTTCACATTTATGGCAGTTTTTTTGGGCTCCTTGTCTAATGAGAACTATTGAAAGTCAGCAATAGTGGGACTTGAACTCAGGACGCTGTGATCGAAACACAACTCTTTCTCTCCTGAGCCACTGAGTCTGCTGAGATGAAGAGCGTTTTCAACCGGTTTGATCCAGAGTTGTGTGTTAAATGATGAATAACTTCAACAAACATGGATCTGAAACCTGGGATTTGAACCAGGACTGTCTGGTTGGTGAGGTTGACAACTATCCACTGAGCCGCAGAGACTGTGAATCAATGATGTTGTTTTAGATTTCAAGTTTAAAGTTCTTAGCGGATGTAAAAGATTATTGTCATTGATTAATAATTCATTGACTACTCAGATCTATTCTTTATAAAATGATTTTATTTTTAAGTTATTCTTTGTATCAACTGTATCAGTGTGCGTGTTGTGTCCTATCGTCTGTCTATATAAATATACATGCAAAAAAAGTCAGATCTAAAATTATTTTCGCCCTGCTGTGGTGATTTGTGTGAATTACACTATTGCAAATCAAGTCTAATAAACATAAGAGTGTCGCCCTCCTGTGGTGATTTGTGTGAATTACACCGCTGCAAATCGAGTCTAATAAACATAAGAGTGTCGCCCTCCTGTGGTGATTTGTGTGAATTACACCGTTGCAAATCGAGTCTAAAAAACATAAGTGGTGTGCCCTCCTGTGGTGATTTGTGTGAATTACATATAGAGAGTAAAAGAAAAGTGGTGATTTGTGTGAATCACACCGTTGCAAACCGAGTCCGATCGAGTCAAATAAACATAAGTGTTTCGCCCTCCTGTGGTGATTTGTGAGAATTACACCGCTGCAAATTTCTTCTGTCTTCTCTGTTCTGTCCTTATGTTAAAATACATACATACATAACGTTACACACACACACACACACACACACACACACACACATATATATATATATATAATACAAAAAACTAGACTTTCTCATTCAAAGGCAAATCATTATTTTCTGCACCACAGAGCTTGTCAAACATGTTGCTGCTGTAATTTTACAGGAACTTTAATCCAAAGTCTCAGATGTGATCTCGCCCCAAAACCCGACGAGAGTAAAGTGCAGTTTTCCTCCGCTCCTCAAGGCGGCAGAAGCGGGTTCTCCTTCAGTCTGACGCTTCTGCTGCTTGACAACATGACGCTTGATGACAATCACAACAACATGAGCAGATCCTGCAGATGAGAAGATGACAGCTCTTAATGTCACTTTAACAGCACATATTACAGCTCAACCGCAAATAAAACCGACGCAATCAAACGACACATAAATGAGGGAACCGAGTGCGGCACAAGACTCACCTGTAAGTAACTTTTACTTTAGCATGAAGTCAAGTTCTCTTGTCAGTCGCTATTGTAGCGTTACCTTTTTAATCTTTGAATGAATCGCCCTCTGATATTCACACTGTAAAGTGTAATAAGAAGGACTCAGTTGATATTGCAGTGTTTTCTGGGTGTATGTGAGAGTCAGCAGGAGTTGTGTCTTGTGTGAAGCTCTGATGTTCTCCTGTTGCTTCCTGCTTTTATTCTACTTCCTGTTATGACTGGGATCTGAGAGTGAAAACTGCCTTTAGAATGGTATGCAATTAAAATGTCACAGTATTACTACAAGCATGAAACAATACAAGTAAAGAGCAGTGACTAGACACTTTGCAATTGGTTTTCTTTGCATAGCATTTCTAATATTGTTCTGATGTTTTGTAGGTTTGGCTTTCTGTGAATGGGGAGTTAGTTTTTAGTTCTGTGTGTTCAGTGTTTTTATAATTGTGTGTGGCCTGTAAGACAGTGATTAAGTTGAATCTCTAGTTGTTGTTACATGTATAAGATTCAAATGAATCGTCCTCTGATTTATGTGTAGTGAAGTAGAATAATAAGCAATTGTTTCTAGTCTCTTTTGTTATTAGTTGTCTTACTTTATGTAATAATAATGTAGTGGATTGATGCGTGTTAATAGAATCAGTTGGTGTGTGTGTGTGAGTGTGTGAAGTGTGTGTCTGCTGCTTGTATTGTATCGTAGAGATGCAGTGCTTTTCTTCTAATGAAAACTGTCAGGATCAATCCTTGTGCAGGAACATGTCTTTTAGGGTTACTGTTGTGTGAAGGAAGGTTTCATCTTAAAGTTATAACTCCACTTGGGCAGTTCTTTACAGTGTACATGTTTAAGCATCAAGCGTCAGCGCTCGCACCGAAGGCTTTATTTCTATTCAGTGTTTGTGTCCATTTGTAGCCTGTAAAACTGTAATTCAAATCATAGATTATTATTGATACAGCCTTACTGAACTATACTATATTATTATAATAGTAATATATTTTCACACTGTACAACTTTAGGCTTTTAATTTATTCCATTTCCTTTTATTAACTAGTCTTTAGACTAACTTTCACATTGTCATTTATAGATGTAGAATATTGAGTATTTCTAAAACTAATCTTTTTTTTCTTGTCTTTCCTTACAGAAGGAATGTGTTTGGACCATTACATCCAGTCATCAGAAGCAGAGCTGTGGGACGTGTGGACAGACATTGACTGTAATGATGGACGTCTGCTGATGGACAGGTAATGTAAATGCTTGTTTTACTGTACTAAACATGTAGGTTCCCATCATTTTCTTTTTGAAGGGCCTCCCCCTTTGAAAAGCAAATGATGGGAACCTAAGCGGGTGGGGAAGGGACGAGGAGGCGAAATTTTTATATAAAAAAAAAAATATTTTTTTTCCTTGTTTCCAAAAAGCATAACCCCTGCTGCTGACTGTCCCGGAAGCTCCGGGGGGAGACCGTACTGGTATCCCCCTCCTTTGGGCGCGCCACTCACACACTCACACAACATCCACTCCTATCGCGGAGATCTGGCTGGGATCAAACCAGCAACCTCTGAACCCGTGAGGCAGCGCTCTTACCTGTGAGCCACAGATCTCTTGCTGATGATGTGCTGGAACTTATATTTCACTGTTATCCTGAGAGTTTCCAATAAAGCAGTTAAAGTGAGATTCGAACCCACGTCTTCATCAGTCTTGACCTCAGAGAGTGTGTGTTTATCCGCTCGCCCATCATGGATTTCACATTGATGGCAGTTTTTTTGGGCCCCTTGTCTAATGAGAACTATTGAAAGTCAGCAATAGTGGGACTTGAACTCAGGACGCTGTGATCGAAACACAACTCTTTCTCTCCTGAGCCACTGAGTCTGCTGAGATGAAGAGCGTTTTCAACCGGTTTGATCCAGAGTTGTGTGTTAAATGATGAATAACTTCAACAAACATGGATCTGAAACCTGGGATTTGAACCAGGACTGTCTGGTTGGTGAGGTTGACAACTATCCACTGAGCCGCAGAGACTATGAATCAATGATGTTGTTTTAGATTTCAAGTTTAAAGTTCTTAGCGGATGTAAAAGATTATTGTCATTGATTAATAATTCATTGACTACTCAGATCTATTCTTATAAAAATGATTTTATTTTTAAGTTATTCTTTGTATCAACTGTATCAGTGTGCGTGTTGTGTCCTATCAACTGTCTATATAAATATACATGCAAAAAAAAGTCAGATCTAAAATTATTTTCGCCCTGCTGTGGTGATTTGTGTGAATTACACTATTGCAAATCAAGTCTAATAAACATAAGAGTGTCGCCCTCCTGTGGTGATTTGTGTGAATTACACCGTTGCAAATCGAGTCTAAAAAACATAAGTGGTGTGCCCTCCTGTGGTGATTTGTGTGAATTACATATAGAGAGTAAAAGAAAAGTGGTGATTTGTGTGAATCACACCGTTGCAAACCGAGTCCGATCGAATCTAAAAAACATAAGTGTTTCGCCCTCCTGTGGTGATTTTTGTGAATTACACCGCTGCAAATTTCTTCTGTCTTCTCTGTTCTGTCCTTATGTTAAAATACATACATACATAACGTTACACACACACACACACACACACACACACACACACACACACATATATATATATATATATATAAATATATAAATACAAAAAACTAGACTTTCTCATTCAAAGGCAAATCAATATTTTCTGCACCACAGAGCTTGTCAAACATGTTGCTGCTGCAATTTTACAGGAACTTTAATCCAAAGTCTCAGATGTGATCTGACGAGAGTAAAGTGCAGTTTTCCTCCGCTCCTCAAGGCGGCAGAAGCGGGTTCTCCTTCAGTCTGACTCTTCTGCTGCTTGACAACGTGACACTTGATGACAATCACAACAACACGAGCAGATCCTGCAGATGAGAAGATGACAGCTCTTAATGTCACTTTAACAGCACATATTACAGCTCAACCGCAAATAAAACCGACGCAATCAAACGACACATAAATGAGGGAACCGAGTGCGGCACAAGACTCACCTGTAAGTAACTTTTACTTTAGCATGAAGTCAAGTTCTCTTGTCAGTCGCTATTGTAGCGTTACCTTTTTAATCTTTGAATGAATCGCCCTCTGATATTCACACTGTAAAGAGTAATAAGAAGGACTCAGTTGATATTGCAGTGTTTTCTGGGTGTATGTGAGAGTCAGCAGGAGTTGTGTCTTGTGTGAAGCTCTGATGTTCTCCTGTTGCTTCCTGCTTTTATTCTACTTCCTGTTATGACTGGGATCTGAGAGTGAAAACTGCCTTTAGAATGGTATGCAATTAAAATGTCACAGTATTACTACAAGCATGAAACAATACAAGTAAAGAGCAGTGACTAGACACTTTGCAATTGGTTTTCTTTGCATAGCATTTCTAATATTGTTCTGATGTTTTGTAGGTTTGGCTTTCTGTGAATGGGGAGTTAGTTTTTAGTTCTGTGTGTTCAGTGTTTTTATAATTGTGTGTGGCCTGTAAGACAGTGATTAAGTTGAATCTCTAGTTGTTGTTACATGTATAAGATTCAAATGAATCGTCCTCTGATTTATGTGTAGTGAAGTAGAATAATAAGCAATTGTTTCTAGTCTCTTTTGTTATTAGTTGTCTTACTTTATGTAATAATAATCTAGTGGATTGATGCGTGTTAATAGAATCAGTTGATGTGTGTGTGTGTGTGTGTGTGTGTGTGTGTGTGTGTCTCTTCTGCTTGTATTGTATCGTAGAGATGCAGTGCCTTTCTTCTAATGAAAACTGTCAGGATCAATCCTTGTGCAGGAACATGTCTTTTAGGGTTACTGTTGTGTGAAGGAAGGTTTCATCTTAAAGTTATAACTCCACTTGGGCAGTTCTTTACAGTGTACATGTTTAAGCATGAAACGTCAGCGCTCGCACCGAAGGCTTTATTTCTATTCAGTGTTTGTGTCCATTTGTAGCCTGTAAAACTGTAATTCAAATCATAGATTATTATTGATACAGCCTTACTGAACTATACTATATTATTATAATAGTAATATATTTTCACACTGTACAACTTTAGGCTTTTAATTTATTCCATTTCCTTTTATTAACTAGTCTTTAGACTAACTTTCACATTGTCATTTATAGATGTAGAATATTGAGTATTTCTAAAACTAATCTTTTTTTTCTTGTCTTTCCTTACAGAAGGAATGTGTTTGGACCATTTATCCAGTCATCAGAAGCAGAGCTGTGGGACGTGTGGACAGACATTGACTGTAATGATGGACTTCTGCTGATGGACAGGTATGTACATGCTTGTTTTACTGTACTAAACATGTAGGTTCCCATCATTTTCTTTTTGGAGGGTGACCCCTTTAAAAAGCAAATGATGGGAACCTAAATAGGTGGGGAGGGACG